GGTGGGATGTCCTCTCTCCTCAGTGGTTGAGGGTGAAACTCTCTCTCCTTTGGAAATTAAAACTAGTCTGACATTGTTCTGTTGCAGGAAAAGAACCCAATTCTTCAGAAGAAAGAGAACTCAGCCACAATCTATTGCTCTGTACAGAAACCTCAAAAGGTGAGAACAATTTTCTGTCTTCCAAAGCCCATAAAGCCAGTGGTGGTAGCATATGCCTATAAGCAACTCAGGAGACTGAGGAATGTGGATTGTAAATTCAAAGCCAGCCTCAGCAACTTAGTGAGACCATGACTCAAAATAAAAATAAAAAGGGCTGGGGATGAGGCTGAATGGCGAAGTGTCCTGAGTTCAATCCCAATCCTCAGTACAAAAAAAAAAAAAAAAAGAAAGAAACTATTTCTCAGACCTTTTGAACTAAAAGTTGTAGATTTCCATGAGGAGCTTAGGTTATACCCAATTAGATATCACTCTGATATATTCCAGGGGCAACAAAGGTGCTTAAACAAATATTCCTGATTTGCATCTATGTGAATAAAGGTTGAACATTTCCAATCAATTTAATAATATCTTGATATGTGATTATTCTTCACCTTGACCAGAATGAGAGACTATAAACACAAACACTGTTTTATATATGTGTCTACACACATGTAAATGTAAATACTATCCTATATGGTGTGATTTTATTATATTATAATATTTTATTATATTATAATATTTTATTATATTATATTATTATATATAATATATTATATTAATATATTATATTACATCTGCCTAATCCTAATCCACCAAAACAGTGACTTTCCAAAACAACTAGAAATTAGCCAACAATTCTATGTCAAGAATATGTACTACAAACTACAATACATAGGTTTTATTAGAGTGTTAAAAAGATCCCTCAAGGTAGAATTTACCTTTAAATAATAATGATGATAATTACTTTTATATTAATCTGTACAGTTTACAAAACATGAACAAACACCGTCACCTCTGATCTTTGTAACACCTCTAGAAATATGTTGTCATCCACATTTGAGAGCTAAAGGAACTAAGATTCAGAGAAGCTCATTTGGCCTACAGTCACACAGATAGTCGTTGGAAGTTCCAGTACTGAGAACCACAAGGAGTTTAAAGAAAATCTTGAATAATCCTTAACAGTTAACTTTGATCCATATCTGGCTAGCCACTCCATTTTCACCTTCCTGATAACATGGAGTCCATTCATGCTTTTGCTTCCAAATTTCCCCCACCTCCAAATTCCCTCCTTGTAACACATTCAAAAAAAGGGTTTTAAAAACAAAATTCTAAAAGTTTTTTTTAATTATGCTACTTATCTGAAATTGATGAATCAATCAGTAGATATTTATTGAGTCTCTTTGTCTGCCCGAAACTGGCCAAGTGCTATGGGTACTCAGACATGTTTAAAGCACCATCCTTGGCCTTGACAGGACTGTAGCTCAGTGGCAGAGCGCTTGCCTGGCACATGTGAGAAACTGGATTGGATCCTTAGCAGCACCACATAAAAATAAATAAATAAAATAAAGGTATTGTATCCATCTACAACTAAAAATATGTGGAGGAAAGTGCACACTCTTACATTACTGGTGGGACTGCAAATTGGTACAACCAATCTGGAAAGCAGTATGGAAATTCCTTGGAAAACTGGGAATGGAACTACCGTTTGACCCAGCTATTTCACTCCTCAGTTTATACCCAAAGGACTTAAAAAATAGCATACTACAGGGACACAGCCACATCAATGTTTATAGCAGCACAATTTACAATAGCTAAATTATGGATCCAACCTAAAGAAAATGTGGTATATGTACACAATGGAATATTACTCAACATTAAAAGAGAATAAAATCATGGCATTTGCAGGCAAATGGATGGAATTGGAGAATATAATGCTAAGTAAGCCAATCCCAAAAAACCAAATGCTGAATGTCTTCTCTGATATAAGGATGCTCATTCACAATGGAGATGGGGGAAGCATGGAGGAATAGACAAACTTTAGATAGGGCAAAGGGAAGGAAGGGGAGGGGGGGTTATGAGGGAAGGAAAGATAGTAGAATAAGACAGACATCATTATCCCCAAGTACATGTATGAAAACATACAGGAAAAAGAAGACAGGTAGAGTTGATTCCATCAGCTGAAGAGGGAAAAGTGTGGAATTCCAAATAGAAGTGGGGGAAGTGATGGATATTACTGCAGAAAGTTTTCATGAAAAAGAAATTTAAACCGGACTTTTAAAGATGGATCCAATGTGCTCAGTAAACACTTGCTCAAATGTACATTTCAGTTCACCCATCACCTGCCTCATCCTGACTTGCAAGATTGGGATCGAATGCTTAGCCAGCAAAGGACTTCACCTTATCTGTTCTATTCTCTGCATTCCCAGAGCTGCTTTCCACTCTGGTCTGGTCCTTTGTGTTTAGGTCAAAACGGGTTAAACTTAAGGTCATAGACTTTAAGGTCATTAGTTCCTGCTGAGTTTCCCAATGACCATGAGTTGCCACACTTGATCATTCCTCTATGGCACTCACACCATTCCAGAGACTTGGATCCCCTAAACCCACTGTCACTTGCAGTGTAAGAGGAAATCAATGTATTTTCTCAGCCAAGATTTTGAAAGAATTTAACCCTGTCTTTCCGAATTTTCAGGACCAGGAATTCTAGTTCTGGGTCTTCTAAGGCCACTATTGCCTACTTGATCAAGAAAATTCTTAAACCTGCTTTAGTTTTCTGACACATTCTTCTGCACAATATCTCAAGGAAGGTCTATGCTATTCCCAAGCTGCTGCTGGTACCTAACTTCCCCCTCCTCAGATTTCATCTGTTCTTCAGAGCCTTCCCTGGGCTCTCTCAGACAAGGGATTCAGAACCCTTGGAACCTGGAGATCGAATGACCTTGACCATTACTTTGGAACTTAGCCTCTACTATCTTAATTATCTCCATATAAATGTTTCCCTTGTTTCTCCAGCTAGTGCATAGATTGAGATCACTCAACAGTAGCTTCTTGAAGGCAAGGCATTTTATTGTCATTTTTTTAATCCCCTGTATTTTCTCTACTAAAATGTCTAGTATTGCCCTTGTAGAGAGTCCAGCCCACAGCATTTACCATTAAAGGAATCTCCACAAGTGCTTGTTTGATGGCTCAATACCTAGGCCATTCCACATGACCCTACTCCTACAGCATAGACTAACCATAGTCTGGCCTTGCCTTCCTCTGTCTCATCAGCACAGGGCCAAGAGAACCAAAATCTTGAAAGGATTTATTAATCAAATTCTTGTGTGTTCTTTTGGCTCCCAGGTGGTGCCACCTCCACAACAGGATGGTCTTGAGTCTCCTGAAATCCCTACCTATGAAAATTTAACCTGAAAAGAAAAACAATTGCCACCTCTTTCCTGGGTCCCCGTCATTTTGGAAAAGCAGCTGGACCTCATAAAAGTGGAATATTCCTGCAGATAGAAGCACATCAGACTTTCTGCAGTGACTCAGACATGCTCGGTTTGACCCCTCCCCCTACTTCTCACCCCTGTGGCCTCCTAAACCCATTACTATTTCAGACACAGGCTCCTTCTTGGATCTACATAAAATGATGCTCGCATAGTATTTAAAATAAAGAGTGCGAAATAACTAAATGTCCATTTTGTGAGAGTCTTGTTAAATATATGATAATATACCCAAGCAGGAATAAACCCTACCACTTGGAAAGAAAGCAAAGATTAACAAACTAGTATGGAATGAGCTCTAAAATACACTGTAGACTGCAAAGAACAAAGTCCAGGACAGTGCATACTGTATGCTACTAGTTGTATTAGAAAACATGTCTATATGTTCAGGTAGACATAAAGAAGTTCTGGAAGAAAAGGAAAAAAAAAATCTTACCTCCTAGGGAGGAACTAGAAATCCCATTTTTTTTCTGCATACTTTTTTTTTGCATTGCTGGATTTTTTATAACCCTATGTGTATTATTCTATTGATAGTTCTCAAACAATGTTTATATGGCTCTTTCACGTAAGATACCCATATTTATTCAAAGAGCTTCCCTCCTTATTGTCAATCTGGATATAGAACAGCCACCGTATCTCTCCTCTTCCCAAATTATGGCTGCAATCCTCTCCCCCTGCCTGTAAGATGCACTATATTGACATGTTCGTGATTCTATAGTGTACATTTGTGATTATATGCACTTTGCAGCCCACTTATGTCCTTTAATGTTGTGTTTCTGCTGCCATACCCTTCTGGCCATGGGCCTTGGAGTCGGTATGGCTTCTAGGACCTGCGATGGATCCTCCCAGGGGTTCAGAAAGTGCTTCATATTCAGCAGGAATTTAATAATTGCTTATTCATGGGCTCATTGCATGGATAATTATAGGTGTTATCATGGAAGTTCATCAGTCTGGCACACGATACGATGCTATACATATCACACTCCAGAATATAGCATACCAAAAGTCCAGGGCCCATAGGGTTTCTTCTGTTCCTTAAAAACATTTGACCAGTTCAAGATCTACACAGTTCAAGCCACTTGAAAAGCCAGCAGCAGTCAACGATCAGTGTCTCTGGTGTTCATCTGGACTGTTCTTATCCCATCATTTCTTGCTGTCTCTTTACCCAACTCCTAGATTCTACAACTCAGCTACCAATACCTAACTCAGGACCCCAGACTCCTTTTGAATATATTTCTCTGGCTTTTAACCCTTGACACTTAATTCAATATGTGGTCTATCCAGACTTCCCTCTAGGAAGGAGCCAGGCTAGCCACAGCCCCCAGGAAGAGAGATCAGGCTGACTTGAGCAAGTGCATGTTTTAGCTATCCTTTGTGATACTGAATGGTCCCAGGCACCTGGTTCTCTGCTGTCCCAGTCACTGACAGCTCACCAGAAAGTCAGATCCCTCTCTTGCCTATGACCTATGCAGACAAGAGGAATTGGGTTTGGCTGCAACATAAGCTAAGAAAGCGGCAAAAAATCACACAACACAGAGATAAGTTTTTCAAATGGAGGGCGGGACGGCTCTGTGACCTTAAGGGTCAGTTTCCATGCTGGAAAGAAAGCACTGGAAAGAGAGCATGAGCCCGTGTTTCCTTTATTTTATAGCGGGGACATCAGAGGCAGGGATAAGACTTCAAGGGTGGAGTCTTGCTTCGTGAGGTCTCGTGGTCAGCAGATTGATTGACATCTTGGCAAGTCCCACCCATCTCAGGTGCTGTGTGGGATCTTAGGCAGAGCTAGAGGGGCAGGCACACCTGCATCATGCAATCACTCCCTGATCACATAGAGCCCGCAATGCCTGGCCTATCCCCTCATTTGGCTACAATGCACAACAGCTCACACACACAGCCCGTGGATGGCTTGTAACAGCCTTCTACAACAGAATTAAACAGACATGTGTTTGTAGATGGCCCATAAGTCCCCTTTGACTGCTTTAGAGTGTAGAAATGCAGAGTGTAGAGAAGATACATAGATTTAACCCAGGCAAAGGATTTAGGCTGCCTGTGTGTAACACCAAATTTTTATATTAAACACATATTTTAAATGAAGGATAGGACACTGAAGAGCCAGGCTATGAGCAGTTATCACCTGCTGTCGTCTCTGAGTCCCCTCTCCTGGGCTCATCCAGAGTCCCAGCCTCGTTGAGGGCCGGCCTAAAGACTCGGGGCACCCAGCACAGATCTGGTTCCCAGCCGCCTCATCTTTTAGCACCCAAGTACCCAAGCCCTCCCTCCAAGGTATACAGTGGGAAGGCAACACTAATCAGGACTCAGAACTTAAATAGAATGGGTTTTCCAAGAAGAGAAGGCAGACCTCTACCACAAAGGAGCCAAAATAGATTTCTAATAATATGTCTTTGTAAATCAAACATTACACTTTGGACAAAACTGGTCTAACTGCCCAGTTCTCAAGAAAGGCTTTGGGTGGTTTTTCTTTCCAATGAAGAGTTTGCTTCTCATCACCCTCTGTTCTTGTGTCTGCCCACTTCCTTTGTGACCAACCGGCCACTGTAAATGTGTTGAGGTGTAGGGGAAAATTTTTTCCCCTGCATTCAAGTTGCAGCCTAGGTGCTGGTCCACCTGTGAGAACCTGCTTGCCAGCAAACAGAAAGTACAGCTTCAGAGGAGCCTGCTTCCTCTTCCCCTGAGTCACTGTCACCTGTTTTTGCTTGGTAGGTAGGCCTGGGTGAGGTGAGGGTCTAGAAACGCAGTCTAGACCAGCATCCCAGATCAGAGAGGATGAGAGACAAGTAACAGGTTAGAAAACCAGGACAAGGGAATCTCAAGCCTCCATTTACATAACTTTATAGATTACAAGTACTCAGAATGTGGTCAACCCAACCTCTCCACCCATTCTTGTCTAGTATCTAAGTTGGGAGATATTATTTCACAACCTTGCTTGTATCATGGCTGTTAGAAATCATTTTCAAAACAAAATAAAGACCACGAATAGACTTTCATATCCTCTCCCAACTAGGAACTCTTCCAAAAAAAAAAAAAAAAAAAACTCCTGTGGCAACATCTATTCCGCTGATTCCCAGCACCAAAGCGGATATGGAAGAAAGGCCAAAAGAGCTACAGCATTTAGGAATAAATATCAAAGTTGTCCAGCTCTTTGCGGCTCAGTCGGGCAGGGTTACGGGCTCTGGACTCTGTTGCTCCAACCTGCAGAAGAAAAAGGGAAATTTCAGACCCTCCCAACAGAAGATCCTTATAATAATTCTATGGTGTATGAATTGTTATCACTGTTTTATAGATTATGAAAATGAAATTCAGAGTGGTAAAATAAATTACGCAGGGTCAATGACTAACATGAAGTAAAGAGGGGACCTGAATCCAGTTTTTCTCCCTTCAATTCCAGGGATCTTTTAACTACACTGTGATTCTTTGTAACCCCCTACATTACTTTGGGCCCACACAGTATCCTCTATACCCCTGGACTGTCTGTCCAGTTGGCTTTAATATAAAACTATAGCTGAAGGGCCAGGAATCTCAGAAAGTACCCACCTGCCATCTCCAATGCAATCAAAGACAACATGTCATGGATGGAGGCTTGGGTGTGGTATGATGCTAACAGGAAGAGGTGACATCCATGCCTGAATTTCTTTGGGTATAAATGTGAAGGTAAGGGCTCAGGACATAGCTCCATGGTAGAGCACTTGCCTAGTATATGCAACCAACCACTAATACTACCAAAAAATATATCTAACTTATAGCATTCTGTGAGCATTAAATCAGATAGTTCATGTGAAGACAATGGCACATTGTCTTATGTATAATAATCCCCCAAGAACTGTCGAGTTCCTCCTCTCTCCTCCCTAAATGGCCTGATGGGAATCAGTTAGCTACCAGGCTCAGTGGTCACCTTCAAACAGTGTCTACCTTAGCAGAAGCTGAAGATCATCCACATCCATAATGGTTCCCAATGCCATGCTAATTTAGAAAATCACTTAGAGTTCCTTATTTTCCCCTCTCTGGATTTTTCCCACCCCACCCTCACATGCAGCCTTTAAATGGAGATGTCTAATTTGTACTCAATAGCCTGGGAACTAGATTGGGGACAGTCCTAATTTAGAACACAAGCTGAAAGTCAGATCTGAACACCTGATGTCACATTGGGGGAGACCCTCACTCTCTTTGGACCTTCATGTCTTTATCTCTAAAATGAAGATTTGGATTTAAAAGTCCCTACAATCAGTGCTGGGGATGTGGCTCAAGCGGTAGCGCGCTTGCCTGGCATGCGTGCAGCCCGGGTTCGATCCTCAGCACCACATACAAACAAAGATGTTGTGTCCGCCGAGAACTAAAAAATAAATATTTTTTTTAAAAAATCCCTACAATCCTACAATTATGAGACTGTATGGATGACCTTTTCATAAGTACACCCTTCATGACTTGTCTTAAGGACTGTGGTATAGACACTAAACTCACTCAGAAGAGTTCCAGAATCTTACCTCTTCATAGATGGAGCTATTGACGGAAGGGTCATGGTTCCTCTCCTTGCATCTGGACTAGAAATTCAGAGAGCAAAGAATTACACATTCGACATAAGAGATGTCCTATTCCTGACTAACACAACAAATTCCAAAAGAGACTCAAACCCCAGAAGTCTCCTAAGCTTTCCTCAACAAGAAAGTGAAAAGAATCTACCTCAAGAATAAACAGTGGTATTAATGGTCTCCCAGAAAGCACAGTACATACTGGCTTATGATATGACATTTCTGAACCAAAGCCAGGGTTTAGTATCCCATACCCAAATACCCCTAAGTCTCACACACAAACACACATTCCCAGGGCACATGCACACACATGCACACATACACACATACACACACACACACACACATATCCCTCAGACAGTCCTAATGCAATTATCATCCCAAACCATGTATCTCTTCAACACACTTTCCCATAATGTAAACAAAAACGTTTTCAAAATATAATACTAAAGCATGTAAACAGAGTACCTATGAGCATCTGGATGTCCTTGGTTGTAGCATATAATTAAAAATCTCTCATGGTGAGTCCAAGTTGATGAATGACTTATTGAAAAGAGGTTGAATAAGAAGTCTGAATATCCATTCTAAATCCCTTCAAATACATAGTCCCTAACCTATATGGACTCCCACAGTTCTGTGGATTTCCATTTTCCTATTGTACCATGGAGCAGCTCATGGTTTCATACTGCAGTTCAAGCCATGGAAACACTACTCTTCCCATCCTCTCCCATACCAAGTAAAAAGGATGAGCAGAGCATCAGGAAACTCAGCTCCAAGGTACTGGGTACACACAAGAGCTATGAGCTCAGCTTGGAGCAGGATGTGAGTGGAACATGACTGCTGCGGTCCAGGGTCTTCCACCAGCAGGTGACTGGCCAGAAAGTTAGCATTGTTTCCCCCTAATCCAGCCCTCCAGCTGCAGGCCCTAAGTCCTTCCTTCGCAAACCTCTCCAATATCTTTCACCACAGCCTCAGCTGGTCTACTAAGGACCCTGTGGTCCTTCTGCACAAAGCACCTCCTTCCTGTCTTTGTCCCTCGAATCCCACAAAAGCCCTAGAAAATCCTATAATCCACTATTCTCTGAATCCAGAGATGTCCTTATCCTCAAGGCAGAACCCTAAAGGCATTTTTCCTCATTGGCCCATTAACATTGAAACACAGTCATTGAATGGAAGCTACCCAGATACACACCGTGGAGGACCACTCACTGTAGCATGCACACACACTCTTGCAAACACATGCCTGTGTATGCACATGCAAAATACACATCTGCATCAATCACACCACATGGGGGAAGAGACTTACCTTCCTGGAAGGCTGTATAACTGAATACAACGTATTTGTAGCTTCTTTTGATGTGGAAGAAGAAGGCTAATGAGAAAAGAAATAAGAGCATTTCAGAAGCATAGATCCAATACAACCCTAGAGGGATCATTGCTTCCATCACTCTGCCTATACCCTGCCTAGACAGAAGCTTTAAGTGTTAGTAAAAAGAACCCTGAATTATCCAGGAGGCCATGAGTCAACGCGAATGCTAGTCCCACTCTGTTACTAAGGGTAACTACGATTTGTTGAGCAGTTATTTTATACATGCATTCTCCCCTAATTCCTATACCACTCTTATAACTTAGGAACAATCATAAATTTTCCCCTGCCACAGGTGAGGCTACAAAAGGGTGAAAAGTCCAAATCAGACAGACTATAAACAATGGGTTCAGTATTCAAATCCAGTATTCAAAGCCCCCCAGGGCTTTTTTCTCAAGGAGTCAACACCTCCTGTTGGCAACATATCTTCTTTCTCTGGACCTGAAACTAGAGTCCTCCAGGACAGGTAACTATCCTCCTTTTAAGGTACTCCAGAGGAGCAATCTCATCCTCACCCAACACCCTAAGCTGAGAGGAGCTCTTCCTTGAATTTTATCCAATCCCTCTCCTTGAATTTCAATGTGAATAAAGCCAGAAAACTGCAGATATCAATCATTCTTGCAATGGATTTTCTGTGCCCCACAGCTCAGCCACCAAGCCTAAGATATGGTTGCACCTAGGCTTGTATAATTTTATCAAAATGGATTTTACTGTCATGTATAACTAATAAGAACCTATAAAATAAAATTTAAAAAGTAAAAATACTTTTTTAAGAAAAGAGTCATTTTATCAGAAACTTTTCATCATTGGCCACAAGGAAGCAGCATTTTCCTTGGGAGATCTCTCCCAGCCTGGGTTATCAATAATTTGCTGATCAATATTGGATGTGTCTCCTGTCCATGAGTAAATTTCTATAACCCCAGGCTATAAAAGGTGAGGTAGAAGGAGATGGAATGGAGATTCAAAAACCCATTTGGTTTGGTTCTGCCACTACCGAGCTATGTGGCCTTGAGCATATTATCCTGTTTGCTTATCTGTGATGTGGGGTTCAGACTATATCTAAAGCATTAAGACTATTTCATGAGGCTGTTGTGGGAGATTTATTAAGAAAATGGATGTACTGTTAAGTCTAAATAAGACTAAAGAGACCAAAACAGATCTAGTATTTCCTGAAAACAGGTATTAGGGGTAATGAGGATAAATTGTATGAGAGCCCCAATGATTGGTGCTGAGAGCCATAGCCAAGTAGGAATGACGCATGGCATTTTGGGTTGAAAGGTGACCCTGCTCAGGGATTAGGGTGGCTCCAGGTTTAGGGTGGATCCCGCTGGGAATAGGGCGGCTCCAGGATTAGGGCGTATCCTGCTGCCTCAGGCGCCCGCTCCTTTGGAGTTCCCGTGGACTTCTCGCGGGATTCTGAGAGTATTGGTATGCAGAGCCTGGAGGAGGGAGTGTATTTTTCCCAGAACGTGCGTGTAGAGTGCTGGTGAGAGTTTGGGAATAAAGAGTTGCTGTTTGAATCTACAAGGCTTTTGTGGTGGCTCGGTTATTTTGTGCCCAGCCAGACTGCGGCATTTGGTGGCCCGTACGGGGAATGCCTGAAGCTTGGAGGTAAGTGAAATTGCTCGCCCCTGAGGAACAGTGAAAGAATGGGTGACCATTTCAAAAAACAATATGTTCTTGTTTTGATTTATTTTGTTTTTATTTCAAGTTGCCTGTCCCTAGAACTTTCTCAGGCAAACTGGGGAAAATGGTTGACTCAAAGTTTAAAGTTGTTTGCCCCTAAGGAACAGAAATTGTTAGAGGAAGGAGGCACCCCAGTAAGACCAAGAACAATTAGGGCATATGTTGATACAATACAAAAATGTAGCCCATGTATTTTTAAAGAGAAGTTGTTGAATATATCACAATGGGACCATCATGGTATCCTGCAGAATAATTTTTCTTCAACAAGAAAGAGATGGCTAGTTCTGTTTACTACACTTGTCTAAGATCTTGGTTTTTATAGACATCTGATTAATTTACAAAGATAAAGTGTTGAAACATCAACCACTAATATAAAATGAAGTACTCTTTACTTATTAAGTTCCATAAGGTAATATATTTAAACATTATGTGTGTTTTCATAAATTGGTGAATGGAAAAATGTTTAATATTGCTTTGTGTCTGTGTCTTTGCTGAAACAAGGTTACTAAGAGTTCAGATTCTATCAGGTATAATTTATATACAAAGAGTATAAGAAGTTTCAGTAAAAGCTATTCAAGATGTGGAAATATATTTTAATATGGAAGGTTAAATAAAGAAATGTTTCTAGATGAGATAATCTTTGTGTGGTAAAGTAAAAAGTTGTAAAATGTCTAAGTAAGTTGCAAAAGGCTTTAAAAGGTTAAATTGAAGGTGGTTAAGATGCCTTCATGACGGAGGAAAGATTGCGTCATTCGAAGCCTAGTTAATCTTAAAAGCATTACTTAAAAAAAACCATGAAAATGGAAAGATAATAGGATAAAAGCAATTTGGATAAAGAAGATTAAAAATTTAAAGTGGAAAACTTTAAAGATAAAAGTACAGAAAGGTTAAAAAAAGATAGAGAAGATGTAGGAAGATAAAAAAGATGTAGGAAGACAAGAATTTTAAACCCACAAAATAGGAAGAAAAAAAAACTAGGAGGAAAAAAAGCAACTAAGGGTAAATATACAAACCTTAGAAGAAAACTAGAAGATAGAAACAAGAGGATTTTTCTTCAACAAGAAAGAGATGGCTGGTTCTGTTTACTACACTTGTCTAAGATCTTGGTTTTTACAGACATCTGATTAATTTACAAAGCTAAAGTGCTGAAACATCAATCACTAAATATAAAATCAAGTACTCTTTACTTATTAAGTTCCATAAGGTAGTATATTTAAACTTTATGTGTGTTTTCATAAATTGGTGAATGGAAAAATGTTTAAAATCAGTTAATGTTTTACTTAACAGGAATCCCATACAATCCACAGGGATAAGGCATAGTTAAAAGAGCTCATCAAACTATTAAAATGTACTTATTAAAACAAAAAGAAGGAATTGGGAAAGGGTATATATCCCCCAAAGATAAACTTAAAATAACCCTTTTTACTCTAAACTTTTTAAATTTGGATTCTTCAGGACTTAGTGCTGCGGAAAGGCATATGTATCCAAAAAAATGTACATAAGCCTAAGGTACTTTGGAAGGATATTCTAACAGGACAATGGAAAGGTCCTGACCCAGTGATTGTCTGGAGTCGGGGGTCTGTTTGTGTGTGTCCACAGGGAGAACAGCAGCCGATTTGGATTCCAGAGAGATTAATTAAAGCAATTTCTACAGACCAAAAAGAAGATGATTTGACTCAAATCCATAACAGCTGATATCCAGAGCTCCAGCTTGGCTATTCTTACATCTGCAACAGTGATTAACCAGGATGCTTTTTTCAATATCTATTTTATTATTGCCTTTTCCCACATCATAAAGTTTTATTTTATTTTTTGAGCTCATACAGACCTAGGTTAATGTTCTTCTGATCAGTTTTATTTCTTGACTGTGGAGTTTTTAAACATTGCAATGGAGATTTCACCTGTGTAAAGCTACAAGGCCTTTACAAGGCCTTTACTATTGTCTTATGTGTTGTACGTTTGTATGCACACTTGTGTTTTACTATTGTCTTATGTGTTGTACATTTGTGTGCACACTTGTGTTTTGTGTTGTATGTCTGTGTGTGCATATGTCCATATATCATGTATGAGGAGCGCTCATGAAAAAATGGATCCGAATTTTTTTTTTATCCACGTGATTTTAATGGTTTAATTTAAATTGGGTAAACAGCTGTTGAGGATTGTTTTAATATGTGTACAAATAAGGAGGTTAACAGATCTGTTTGTTTACTTTCACCTTTCCTTTTCATTATATTTAATAATTCTGTTCAGGATAATGTAAATTGTTCAGAAAATTGTTTTCTTAGTACCTGTTGGAATGTTACATAATTTCTTTTTAGCATCATTGCCAGAATTCCTATCTTCATCCCAGTGCCGGTGAAGACAAAGATAAAACCAAACTACAGCTTCTATGATAGCTATTACAATAAACTGTATAAACTGATGCATCAATGAATAATAACTCAACAAGTAATGCTCAATCAAGGAGTTGATTTACTTTGGGAGGAAATGGACATACTTATAGATTCCTCTGCTTTGAATTGCTTGCAGAACGTGCCTGGACTATGTATCACTTGTATGCATTGTGAACTATCTATCTGTTGGTGCAGTGAATTGTGGTAGTGCTGGCGTATCTTTGCTGATGCTGTCACCGGTGATACAATTTTTCCAAAGGAGCCGTCAATTGGCTTGGTGTCGTGGCATTTCTGTATCCTCCTCCCTTCTGCTAGTGATGGTCTAAAATTTGGGGGCCAACAGAGGTGAGGCAAAGAACCTCACCCCCCCCCACTGTCATCAAGGCCAAATTTAGGGGCCAACAGAGGTGTGGCAAAGAACCTCATCCCCCCCCCCACACTGGTGCATAGGCCTATCCACAAGTATGGCTATGTGCTGGACCAGTAGTCAGTGATGGGTATGATCCAATTGCAGTGGTACCAACCTAAGACAGGAGGCTGACGCCTAGAGGTCAGCTCATCCAATGACAGGTAAGGACCATACGTTGAATTGGACCACCTAACAGGCACGGTCCCTAAGCCACATTGCTTGTTGTTTAATTAAACAGAAGGGGGGGGGGATGCTGAGAGCCATAGCCAAGTAGGAATGATGCATGGCATTTTGGGTTGAAAGGTGACCCTGCTCAGGGACTAGGGTGGCTCCAGGTTTAGGGTGGATCCTGCTGGGAATAGGGCAGCTCCAGGTTTACGGTGGATCCTGCTGGGAATAGGGCGGCTCCAGGTTTAGGGCGTATCCTGCTGCCTCAGGCGCCCGCTCCTTTGGAGTTCCCATGGAGTTCTCCCAGGGTTCTGAGAGTATTGGTATGCAGAGCCTGGTGAAGGGAGTGTATTTTCCCAGAACGTGTGTGTAGAGTGCTGGTGAGAGTTCGGAAATAAAGAGTTGCTGTTTGAATCTACAAGGCTTTTGTGGTGGCTCAGTTATTTTGTGCCCAGCCAGACTGCGGCAGATTGGAATCAATAGAAAGAGGGAAAAATTGAGTTCCCTAACAAGGTTCCTTCTCCTACAGACAATCTGGGCTAGACCTTCTGCCAAGTGTGGGAAAAGGGAGAATGTCTGCATTGGGCTTTCCAGCTCTGTTAAGATACTCCAGAGGTTCCTCAAAAGATTAAGAATGAAAACACCATATGATCCAGCTATATCACTCCTCGGTATTTATCCTAAAGAAAATATTAAAGTCAGTATACTATAGCAATAATGCAAACTCATGTTTATAGGAGCACAATCCACAATACCAAATACCCTAAACTAGGAATTTAGGTGAATTAGACCGAGAGCCTTCAAAGACCTAAGTAAGTGTCAACAGTTAATTCCTGCACTAAGGGCTGCAAGACTCTATCTTACATCAACTGAATGCAATGGAACCAACCTTGGTGTCCGTCAATGAATGAATGGATAAAGAAAATGTGGCATGTACACACAATGGAGTTTTAATCAGAGAAGAATGAAATTATGTCATTTGCAGGAAAATGGATGGAACTTGAGAGCATTATGTTAAGCAAAATAAGCCAGACTCAGAAAATTAAGGGTTGTATTTTTCTCAAACATATGGAAGTTTGAGAGGAAAAGAAAGATGTGGCATAGGTGGAAGTCTTATGAAAAGAGATGGGAGATCAATAGAGAAGAAGAAGGGACCAGGGAGAAAGGAGGAGAGGAAAGGGGGAAATAATGGGGAAAGTACTGGCCAGATTTTATTGTTATATCATGTGCATATACAAATATATCAACAGATTCCACTATTGTGAATAATTATCATGGACTCATAAAAATATGGAAAATGACACCAGAATATACTGATCTTTTCAACTTGTCAATGCACCTGAAGCCAAGCTAGGCTCTGGACCCCAGGAACACCCAGATCCTGCCATTGAGGGGTGTAAATTGGGGACGGGGCATTAGGGAGCCGCATAGATGGGAATGAAAAGTATTAGAGAAACCAGAGTGGTACCTGGGACTGGATCACAGAGTAAATGGTGATTCCTTCTTCAAGGACTTCCTGCTGCTGTAGAAGAAACAATAAAGGAACATGAGGTGACATGGGTAGACAGCGGGGTCTGTCCAGGTTTCGATTAAACAGGGAAAGATAGAAAAAAGAAGCCTGGGAAGAAGGTAGCAGGACTGGGAAAAGCCTCATCATTGAACACCCCAGGAGGGGGAGAGGCAGGAGGAGTTACAGGAGGTCACAATGGAGCAATTAGTGTCAAGAGCAACTAATGGCTCTTGACACTAATTGTGTGACTGGATTCAAGCAATCCTGTCCATTGGGCACCCCTGTCCCTTCCTTTGCTTTGATAACTTAGAAACCCCTCCTTGCCTTGGCTGACTTGAGGACTAAATTTTCCACATAACCACTGATAATGGGCAGAACTCCAGGCAGAGCAACGATCCCAGCCGTACCTCAGGGCACCGAAATTCAGAAGGTTTAAGCATTTTAAAGACTCAGCATTTTAAGCCCCCCCCCCCTCAATCTATGTTTCATAACCAGCTTTCCCTTGGCCTCAAGCCAGTCCTCTTGGCAGCTGTGATGCTGGGTGGAGCCCTAGACCCAAGGCTAAAGGCAGGGGGAACACAGCCCTTCCGGTTTCCCTCCCTCAGGCCTGTCCCACAACAGACTAGGAGTGGAGATATTTCACGCTGCACATCCCTGAGCACATATTTCCAGATGGAGCTCTGCTGGGGAGCCAAAGAAGGTCAGCAGCATTCATCAGACAAGATGGAAGCTGAACTCCCCAGAAACAAAAAGCTAAGAGGAAGAGAAATGTCAAGTCATCTTTGGAGGCCAGAGAGTCATGGGCATGTGTCAAGAAACAGGAGTTGTTTGTTTGTTTTTTTCTCTCCTGTGGATGGTCTCCAAAGTGAGACCACATGAAACTTGGGATTTAGGCCTTCAAGCTGGGGTCTGGAGACAGGGATAGACCCCACAGAAGGCTGAGGTTGGGCAGAGAGGAACCTGAGTCAAAAGCAGTGTAACAAGCCTGAGTCTCCAACAGATTTCTTTTACTCTAAATGGTTATTTCCTCCTGTTTTTCTTATTTCTCTAAAGTCATCTTCATTTGGGGAGAGCGGGGAGGTAGGAGATAAATGGCTAAAGCTAGATGCATGTGCCCTTAGGAATTCGTACCTGAATCTGGAAGTAGTCAAACTATCTCCTCTTTAATTTTCACACCCCAATATTCCATTTTGAGGGCAAAGAAACAGGCGAGGGGAGCTGCCCTCATTCCCACTGAGGAAATAGACCTGAGGGAGGCTGCCTCACGAGGCCTCGTCTGTGTGGAGAGCGGAGGGATTCCTCATTGTTGCCTCCTCTAGCCAAGCACCAAAATTGGCAGTGGGAAATGGGGCCTTCCTCCCCACTCCCACCTGCTACCCACCAGTTCAGCAGGCACTGCCTGATCCATCAGAGCCTTTCCCCGGGCTTGTCACCACATCCTGCCTGTGGTACTGGGGGCATCTTCAACCCCCCTGCAGCTTCCTCTTTTACATCCCTGGATGACAGGAAGAGGTGGCCACCGCCCTGCTGAGAGCTGGTGAGAGAGGTTCCTGGGGGAGACACCCAGGGCTCATCAGTTTAAAATCAAGCTGATGACTCTCTCCAGCACCTCAGCCAGACTCGGGCCTCTTCTTTTCCAAAAGGCTGAGAACATAGATCAATGAGCCAGTTACAGAACTGTTATGCTTTGGCTGGTCACACTCCCCAGACCAGGGTGACAGTGAAAAGACCCACCCAAATAAGCTCTTAACTGCTAGAGAAACAGAATTTGTGGTCATGAAGTGGCACCCCCTTTCTCCACAGAAAAGCCCTCTTCACCATGGCTGATTTTAGGACTGTCAGAAAAAGAGTCCATTGTAGATAAACTTCCTATTTTCGTGTCACCCTGTTTTACTTGGCCACTGGCCGAGAAGATACCAGCACTCCAGGTGCTGGACACCCTCTTACTAGTTTTTCACAAACGTATCCAGTATAGTACTTTGAAGAAATGTGCAAACAAGGCCTCTGGCCTTGAGCTGGGCTTCACAGAGATGTCTACATTTTTAAGATAAGTTACAACTGGGCTCCATGGTAACAGCTGGCAGGGGAGGAAAGAAAGGGGAGAAGAAGCTCTCCCCTTCTCAGGTGTTGTCCTTGAAGGGTTAACTTGCCCAGAACAGTGAAAGAAAAAGCTGCTTTCATGTGAACTTCTGCAGACTGGGAACTTCTGAGCCCCTCCCCTTACATGCTGGGTATAAAACTCTGTATAAATCCCTGAACTCGGGGTTCAGGGGATTGATTGATTATAGCAAAAGCTGTGCCCCCTGAACCTGGCTGCAGCCAAATAGAACTGTTTCCTGCTGTCTTCGGTGCCTTGCGTCATTTGTCCCTGCAACAGTCAGAAACAATAAATACAGGAAGGTTTCCCTCCTCTTGGCACTCAGCCCATCTGGAGAGGCTGAGCAGCAATGAGAACACCGTGGTGCTGTCTGGGGAGGAAGGAGCAGCCTCTGCCCTCTGGATTTTCTTGTGCTTCATCCCTTCGCACCGCGCATGTCATGTCTGCCTCCCTTTCATTTTCTCTGCTTCCTTTGTTTTCCCTCATTTCCTGTCTGGCCAGAACTAAGAAACTGATGGAGAAAAGAAATGGGGGAGGGCTGAGGATAACTTTGAAAGGATCAATGTCCATTTCTCTTTGTCCCCCTGCTCTGAATGGCCATTCTCCAAAAAGCAACTTCCAGACCAACGGAGAGAGACCCCAACCCATAGAATGCCATACTTCATTCCTCCTCATCTGTGGGTTTTTGACATCTTCATAAATTGTCAGAGGTGTCTCTGGGCTGGTCTCTGTGGAAAGAGGTAAGCAAGGAACAGAGCTTCAGAAACGTCCAGAGGGCTTCCTGTCCAGCTCCCACTTTTGATGGTCCTACCTCTCCCCAAGATGGCCCAGACCTTAAGAACGGCTCTAGAAAAGAGGCGGATTAGTGCTCTTCCCACAATACCTAAAGAGCATGTGATGTGCCCATCCCTGACATACCTTCTCTATCAAGATGGGCAGACCCCAATCAAACCAGGCAACCTGCAGATAAGTCTGCACATTGAGGATCAGATGCAAACATCTGGCAGCCAACACAGAAAGAAGCCTTGCTGCCACTGGTTGCCCTCTCTCAACCACGTACACGCATCCCGACACTCCCGGAGGGAAGGGATACTATGCATCCAGGCACATCCCACTGAACACAGCACCCAGCCACTGAATCTGATGTATTGGGCCACAGCACCCCTCAAGGACCATCCACTTACGTGACTGCTTTCTCTTTCTCTTCCTCACACAGAAGCAAGTGAAAGTGACAATAAACAGTATGGCCAGAATAATGACAATCACCATAAAGGGCAGAATTCTGGATCCTGATAAATTTAAAAAAAAAATTTTTTTAAAAGGTGCAAGGACTGAACTCACTCCACCTCTTACTTCCCACCTGCCAGCTGTAGCAGCTGTTTCAAAACCCACTCTCCTCCCCAGTGTGGCTGGTCTCCTCCTGCCCTATGAATCCTGCACCAAGGTTGTCTCTCTGCTCAATTGGGTAACTTCCCATAAGTGATGCCAAGAGTTTGGACATTAATTTCTGACAGGTCTTGTCCAAATTGTAATTCTGTAGGCTCAGTGTTACGGATTTAACCCTCTGAGCTTCAAATTTTCTCACGCATTAAAAGGAGCTAAAGCTATCCACCTATAGGGGATCATCACACAATCTGATATATGGAAAGCATCTGGCACAGCAAATATTGTATCTATTCATTGTTTATAATTCAACAAATATTTATTGCACACCTACTATGCACCAGGCAAGTCTTCCATTTCACCTTCCTGCTATTCCTGCCTCCACTGCTCTTCCTCACCTGAACTTCAACATTGAACATTTGTGTTGCATGTGTTGCCTGATATATAATCCAGCCAACATGAGAAGGGAGAGGAATTAAGTGTTTCAGGGCCAACTGACTAGCTTTCCACAACATTATCTCACTAAATCATAACAGCAATCCTGTGAGGCACCCGTTATTGTTACCCACATTTTACCCTAGAGAACAATTGAAACTCACAGAGGCTAATGAATCTGCCTGAGATCACAGAGTTCGTTCATGTAAAGTGCAAAAACCAGTGTCCTTCTCACTACATAGTGCCTCCATCTTGTTTGTTTCTATTTTGCCCATAAGTACTTGGTTTTGTTGCCCCAATTTTGTTGAAGGTTTTTAAGAACAGAGACTGCATGGTTTGGGTTTGGGTTTGGGTTTTTTCCCATCACACCAATGCTGACTGGCACATTAAGTCTTTGTTTATCTAATAAAAACCGATGTAAACTCAGGTGATTCTCAGCATAAGCAATAAACCCAGATCTCCCCCCAGGCATCGTGTGATTCTCCTGACCCAAGGCACTATTGGACAGTGTTATTACCTCCTGGAGAGCTGCATGGTGAGCCACCACTCAAGAGGACAGAGCAGGTCTCCATATATCTTTCAGAGGAAGAAGATAATGGTCAGGAGCCATTGCAAGACTCACCAAACAACCATGCATTCCCTGTGTGTAGGGAAAACTTGCATCTCCAGAAGGATATGGAGTTAAAATCTTCCCAGACTAAGATAGGCCTGGGTTATAGAGACCATGTGCCTAGAGGCCAGGCCCTTGCTGAGGGAGGGCTAAATGACACTGGGGGAGGAAGCCCAGGAATGGCATATCCAAGTCTCCCTTGCATGTGAGCCTGGTCATGGGGTCCAACACCTTAAGCCTGTGTCATAGCCTAAAGTGCTCCACTTACTCAGGGGGACACGTAGACATCCCTGGGTGAGGTTGAGGGTTTGGCTTGCCCAACTGACAGGGTTGCTAACATTGCAGGTATATGTGTTCTGGTCATTGGGATCAACCGACACCTCCAGATATGTAAAGTTCCCAGACGTCGAGATCAATTCATTGTCTCTGTACCAAGTGTAGGTCACATTGCTGTCCCTGGAGACCAAGCAGGACAGCACCACTTGGCATTTCCTTTCTTCCAGGGCCTTCCACTGTTCCTGCAGGAGAGGCTGCTCAACATGATCTGGAAGCAGAGATTCTGATCAGAAAGGTGCTGGAAATACATGTCCTACAGGAATCGAGGGGACCGGGTGAGGAATCCTGGAGACTCACCAAATACGAAAACCTTGAAGTGGACCACGTTCACCTTTCCAGACTCATTGGTCACCTCCAGTTTATAATGACCACTGTCCTGTGGCTTAGCGGCCTTGATGAGAAGGGTTAAGTTCTCAAAGTTAAAATCAAGTGTATTGTTGAAATGTTTAAGAGCTAAATCTTCATACGTCGGAGTGGAATTATTCCTCCAAGTCAGTATCACATAAGTTTCTGGACATGAGAGTAGCTGCATCTTCCATTGAACAGAAGATATCTCCATCTGTGTATTAGAAGGCCGTAGAGGGAGGGGCCTTCCCGAGAGACCAACCACATCGTAAGTAGAATCTGGGGATCCTAGGAGAGAAAAACCAGGCTGACAGTGACAGAAAGAGTGTGAGGCCTGAGCAATGTGGGCAGTTGGAGGCAATCTCCCTTAAGCTAAGAGGATGGAATCATGTGTGAGGAGTCTGGAGTCAAAGAGAATCTGAAAATATACTTCCTTTATCTGCCTGTCCTTCTTCCCAAGCTCTGTCCTCTAGTCTGAAGGAACCCACAAACCAATAACCATAGTTAGGATCTCTCAAGTACTTACCATGTGACAGGCAGATTTCAAACATTTACATGTTTTAACTACTTAATTTCACAGGAACCCCTGTGAAGGTCTTATCCTTATTTTATGGGTGAGAAAACTAAGTTAGAAAGCACTCAAGTAACACAGTGAGAATGATGAGCTCGAAATCCAGCTGCTTTGTCTTAGGGGATGAGTTTTTAACCAAGATGCTATAAACACCGTGTCTGATGGGACTGCCTTCCAGAAGCTTTGAAGCAACCACTAGTGATGACAATGGCCAGACCTAGTGAGACAAACCCTCCAAGCTGCTCCTCTTCTGTCCTCTTATAGAGTTGAATTCATCATCCTCTCTTACAGCACCTGGCACGTTGGTTTGTGGGCTTTACTCATTGACATTTACCAATCTTTGACCAGAAACTATCCACAAAGATCACTCCCTAAAATTAGAACAATTAGAAAAACAAAAATAAAATTATACTTCCCAAGTATACCACAGAAGCTGAGTACTGTCAGTGAAGAAAAGCACAAATTCCTATGGCCATTTTTTGGCAGGGAAGCTACGTGGCACAGCCCATTGCATGAAGGAAATACGAGAGTCAGTCGGCCTGGATTGGAGAGAGTCAGGGAGAATTTAAAGTAGAAAACAGGATCTGGGGATAGTTACACAAATGGCTCTGTTAAAATGAGGCCAAGGGAGGCAAAGCAAGATGGTACTTAAATAAGATCCTCGAGTGATCATCTCCCCACGGGGCATAGCAAGTTGAAGAGCTATTCTTCCACCAAACTACCTTCACAAGAGCTCAGGAAATGAGGTGAGAGAACATAGTCCTGCTTATGATGAAATGAAAGAAGTATTGAAAAAGGCAGAAAAGAATGAGAAGCCCATGTCACCCCTTCCCCAATTCCAAGCAGTCCAGTGTGGAGAGAGACTCCACCTGCTTGAGATTGTGAGCAAGTTTAGGTCATGCATTACACTTGAAAACTACTGCTGGACAGAATCCCAAGACCCCTACCACCAGGCCAATACCCACCAATTGAGTAGGCACCTGCATACCTATTCCAACCTTAGGAGGCAGTGTGGGAAGCAAGACTCCACCTGCTGGGAACAGGGCACAAATCTAGCATGGGACTTGGTCTTGGAGTTCAGTACCAGATCTGCAGCAGTAAGAGCAGCATCCGGTAGAAAGTGAATGCCCCAAATGCAGGCCAGAGCTCACAGATGGAGAGTTTAGCCAGTCCCAGCATCAGGTACAGACCCATGCACCAGTGGGACAGGATCCCACATCACCACCTACATCACCACCAGCTGTGGCCTGGGCCTTGATGCAACCCTGAGGCCATGCAGAACTTTGAGGCTGTGACACTCAAGCATGTTAAAGGTTATCATCAGTCTAGGTGGTCAAGGAACTGCCTTCACCAAATCTTGGGCAGCTCTGTCCTCTAGTCTGAAGGAACCCACAAACTAATAACCATAGTTAGGATCTCTCAAGTACTTACCATGTGACAGGCAGATTTCAAACATTTACATGTTTTAACTACTTAATTTCACAAGTAGTTAAAACACAGGGGGACACGTGGTCATTATAAACTGGAGGTGACCAGTGACCAGTGACTGAGGCCGGACAGGGTGGTAAGCAGAGAAATTTGCCCTGGAACTTAGTGGGGGGCTGGTGAAGCCCATTGGGCAGATCCTCAAAGACCCCACCCACACGTTTACCTGTAGATGAAGCCTCTAGAATAGCTCTAGTGCTGGTGAAGACATGTGGCCCCAGTCTATTGGCTTCTATTCCAGCTAGCATCAGCTGGGCCTAATGGCAGCCATGAGTCTAACTCAGCAATAGGTAGCCCCCAGCAATGTAAGCTACCACAGTGTTCTGATCTTGGTGGGCTATGAGCACTAGGTGTGACACAACTTGATGGCATCAGTGGTCACAGGCATGCCATAGGAAACTAGTGCTGGTCCATCCATGGTAATTCTGACCAGAGCCAGGAAAAATTCTTCAGGACCTGACCACAGGTGGGCAACTGTGGATGTGTCCTTGGGCCTACCCTAGGCCCAGGAGAGGATTGTAGGATAACCACTCTCTCTAAATACTCCCCTGGTCTGTTCTGAACAGCACACCAGCAGTGCATTTGGGATACACTAGGCCTGGACACCCATTATTACTGAAACTGTGACAATTTACCAACAGCAGACTCCCAGCAAACCTGGACCTGCATGTCATCCAGTATTGGAATAGTAGAAGTGACTACAGGCGCAAAGAAAATAAGCAGCCTACTTAGAATTTCTGAAAAGACAGGCACAAACAACCAGATTGGGAAGACCAGAATAAATACCTAATGCTCAGATAATGCCCAGACAATGCCCAGATAATGTCATATGCCGATAAGCATAAAGGCTTTCAGAAAATGATGACCTCCCCTGATACTCAAAATAAGATGTCAGAAACTGACAGGTGGCAATCAGTATGGGAGAATGATCAGATGGACAACTTATAACAGCTGTTTTAAAGAAACTTGAAGAAAACATAAAAAAACATGTCAATATTCTAACAGAGAAATTGAAAAAGGAGTAGAAGCAACTGTTCTTAGTCCAGTTAGTGAAACAAAGTTAATTTTAAGATAAAGAAACTAGCAAACCTTTTTCTAGACTAAGAAAAAGAGAGGAAAAACTCAAGTAAATGAAAGCAGAGATGAAAAAGAAGAGATTATAATTGACACCACAGAGATACAAAGAATTCTTAAGAGATTTTTATGAACAAATTGTCAACAAATTGGATAATCTAGAAAAAAATGGAAAAATTCTTAAGAAACATAGGCCCCATCAATATTAAGTCATGAAGAAACAAGAAACATGAACAGAACAATAAGAAGTAATGATATTGAATCCATAATTAAAAGTCTCCCATAAAAAAATGGAAAAGCCCAGTGGGGCTGGGTATGGAGAGTACGTGTCTAGCATGCATTAGGCCCTGAGTTGGATTCAAAGCAAGCAAAAAAAAAAAAAAAAGAAAGAAAAGCCAAAGATCAGAGCTTCACTGATAAATTCTATCAACGATTTAAAGAAGAATTAATATCAATTCTCAAGTTACTCCAAAAAATAGAAGAGGAAGGAATTCTTCCAAAAGCATTTGATGAGTTCAGCCTTATCCTGATACCAATACTAGATAAGGGCACAATAAAGAAAAAAAAACTACAGGCCAATATCCTCTGTGAACATCAATGCAAAAATTCTCGACAAAATACCAACAAATCAGCTAGGGATGTAGCTCAGTAGTAAAGTGCTTTCTTACCATGCACAAGGTTCTGGGTTTGATCACCGAACACCCCCGACACACCCACACATACACCCCTAGAAATCTGAATCCAAAAGCATATTTAAAAGATTATTCATCATGGGTCTGGGGCTGTAGCTCAGTGGCAGAGCGCTTGCCTAGCATGAGTGAGGCACTGGGTTTGATCCTTAGCAAAAAAAAACACTAAACAAACAATGGCATGCTGTCTATCTACAATTATAAAACAAACATTTAAAAAAAAAAGATTATTTATCACAATCAAGTGGGATTCATCCCAGGAATGCAAGAATGATTCAATGTATGCAAATCAATAAATATGATACACCACATCAACACAATAAAAGACAAAAACCACATGAGCATCTCAATGGATTCAAAAAAGGCATTTGATAAAATTTAATGTCCCTTCATAAAAAGGCTGAATAAATTAGGTAGAGAGAACATACCTCAATGTAATAAAAGCCATTTATGAAAGCCATCAGCTAAAATTATACTGAGTGGGGGGCAATCTGAAAGTTTTCTAAGATCTGGAACATAACAAGGATGCCCATTTTCACTACTTTGACACAACATAATCCTAGCCGGAGAAATCAAGCAAGAGAAAAAAATAAAGAACATTTAAATTGGAAAAGAGGAAGATGAATTGTCACTATTTGCTGATATGATCTTCCATATAGCAAACCCCTAAAACTCAAGAAAACAAAAACTACTAAAGCTGATAAATGAATTCAGCAAAGTTACAGGATATCAGAAATCAATATACAAAAATCAGTAGTATTGCTCTATATAGCAAATTATCTGAAATAGAAATCAAGAAAGTAATTTCAGTTATAATACCTACAAAAAAAAAACCTGGAATAAATTTAATCAAAGATGTGAAGGATCTCTATGATGAAAATTATAAAACATTGATGAAAAAAATTAAAGAGGACATTTTAAAAAGTGGAAGAACATCCTGTGTCCATGTATAAGAAGAATCAATATTGTTAAAATGTCCATATTCCTTCCCCTAAGTGATCTACAGAAGCAATACGATTCCTTTCAAAATACCAGACTTTCCACAGAACTCGAAAAAATAATCCTAAAATTTAGATAGAAAAACACATATACACACACTTGAATAGCCAAAGCCATCTTGTATAAAAATAATAAAGCAGTAGGTATTCATTATCTGACTTTAAAACACTAAAAAGCTGTAAGAATCAAAAAAGCATGGTATTCATGGTATAGAAAACCTAGAAGTAAGCCCATGCACCTACGGCCAACTGATTTTTGACAAAAGTGCTAAGATCATGCTTTGAAGAAGAATATGCTCTACAGCACGATAGGCTAACTGTGGTCAACGATGATTATTTGAATATTTCAAAACAGTTTCTGAAAAATCACATCCCAGTATCTCTTATGAACAAATATGCAAACTGAATATTCTTAAACTGAATCCAGCAGTACATCAAAAATAACATATTCTGAATAATAGAGGTTTATCT